CACTCTTCTCCAGTCACCAACTAGAGAAACAATCTCTACAAGCATAGCCTTAACTAACACCCACCCTGCAAATCACAGACCATTCTGGGGCATTGTCCTCTAACTGGTGGTTGCTACAATTTGGCCTTCACAAGAGAGAGAGCACTATGAGAAGCCCCACATGAACAGATCCTGGGTCTCAACTCTGCCCTCCATGGCCCCTTTCCCTAGGCTGCCTAACAAAGCAAAGATGCTCAAAGTAGCCATCCCCTTTCATTTGCATAAACTGAAGACACAGACAGGCCACTCAACCAATCTTCTCCCCGCTCCCTTCTCTGCAATGCCTAAGATAACAGTCCTCTAGCTGGACAAGCCAAGAGCTCTCTAGAAACAACAGCCTATGCAGTTTTGGACACCCAGAGCACGTTTCTTTGGCTCCAGGGACCCACCTGGAGAAAGTCAGCAGTAGGGAGCCAGGCTATCCAATGAGTGGTCTTTCCTGAAGCAGTGGGCCAGTATTACCGTTCTCCAGGGAGCAGGAGCTCCCAGTTTTTCTGGCAACCACGCCAGAGCTTTGACTTAAAAGCAAGCATACATAGCCATAGGCTTTCTTTTGAACCAGACCAGAGTCCAGATAAACCCTGTCAATATTTTTCATAAGAAAGAGGAGAACAACAACAAATTTTTAAGGTTTTTTTAATCCTACTGTTTCTAGGATATGAGGGAGCAAGGAGGGTGAGTTAATATTGTTTCTTGTACCAACCTCTTCTGGATGAAAGGAATGATTTTTTTAGCCACACACAGGTCTTCTTAAGTTCCGGAGTGGGCAGGAGAGGGTTTGAGCTAAATACACATTTAGACAGATTTTTAACCAAAAGTGGTAAGGCTTCTTGGAGGCAGTCACTTGTAATGAATTGGTTGATTGAGGGTTAATTGTTTAAGCATAAAGGGCTTGAAGTGAGCATTTCAGGGTATCAGTCAGTGTGGCGTGTTACACATTTTTGCAAAAAGCCATTCAAAGAGTGTTCCTGTTATGTCCATGGTTTTTGGTGTCTAACAGTGCTATTAATTTTAGTTCCCAGGCTTGCCTTTTGAAGGTGTTGTGCAGATTTTCTTTGAGGAAAAGTATTGAAAGATGACATATGGAATGTTGCTTTGTAAAAAGTGTTTGCCCCTTTATACCAACGGTCTGACGGCGCAACTCCAGGGGGCAGCAGGACTGACCCGACAGATACCACTGAGGGAAAACTTTCTGCCGGCAGTGCTTAGGGCAAGCCCACCCCTACATTGGAATGGAATAAGCAAGCACCCAAAGAATAATAATTTATTATCCCTTGCATTAATAGTAATAAAATGAATTTGAACCTATAATCAAATGATACCATTGCCATAAACAAAAGGTTTCTTAAAAACCACTCAAGGGCAAAGCACACCCTCACAAACCCATAAAGGGAAATAATGACAGTAATTGAACCACACCACAGACTCCCTCCTCTGTAGGGACTTCCCTTCCACCTCTGGCTCCAATAGACACAGCAACACACCCCATCCCCCAAATTCAAGCAACTCCTACTGCCCACACAAGGAGCTCATCCTGCACATATCCACGGCACAGATATCAACAGCAAATATATTTTGTCACTGCTGAGTTTGGCATTAAAGTTTTCTGTAACCCAAAGCCTTAATGCCAATCTCAGCAGCCTTTGCATATATTTACTGTTGACATATGGGCACTGGGTATGTGGATGATGTGGCTCTTTAATGGTGTGGAAAGTATAAGGAACAGCTCTACACAGGCTCAGAAGTGTGGATGAAAATCCCCTACCCAGGGCACCATGCTGCCCTTCCCATACCCCAGCCATATGGGCTCAGAGAAGTAAGAAGGGGAGGTTTAGGGGCAGAGTCTCAGCAGCACACCGTAGCTGCCAAGTGAACAGATCCTGCACATATCTTTGGCAGTTTTGACTATGGAGGCTTGTCAGAATGGCACTGTCAACAAGAAGAGGAAGCATATTCCAGGGTCACACGGGGACTTTAAGAGAGGAGGAAAGACATTAATTCTGGAAGCTGCATCCCCATGTCCAGTTCTGATAGCAAAGACTTCTTGGCAACTTGTCTGTGACTTTGATTATAGTCTCAAAGTATGATTTTGTGAATGCGGAGAACAGCACCTGCTGATTTGCAGTGCTCATTTGTAAGGATGAGATCAAATAAATTTTTCTCCCCATCAAATCCAACCTCTTCGACTCTTGGCCTTAGGTATGGACTTATATCTCCCATGAAACAATCTCTCTTTAGTTGCCATTACAACAAGGGAGTTGGAGGCTAGATGAGAATAGAAGCACTCAGAACTTTGCACAGGAACATAGTTTCATTTGTCAGTACACTTCCCTGTTGGCAGTAAGGAAGTAGGGGTATCCCACGATCTTTGCAGGTGTGACGGTGCCACTCATAAGGCTTTATAGAAATATGCTTTTGGATGCATATATATATAACATAACTAGAATGTGTTTTATGCTACATATGCCATGTAACATCTCTGTAAAGGTTATGATCTACTGAATCTATTAATCCTATTTGTATGCATGTATCATTTTTGTATTTGAAGTTATAAATATTGGCTGCATACTTGTTTGATTCTAAGTAGGCTGTAGTGAAGCAGTTGGTCAGCTTCCTGAGAAAAGACTATTCTTTCCCAATCAAGAAACACTTAAGCCAACAATGAACTTGAAGACACCAATCCACATCTAGGCTTTCCCAGGAATGTGGCTTGGCTGGTAAGGAACTCAGTCATGCGTGGATATGTGACTTGCCCAGGTGACTCCAAAACTCCATTTTGTAGCTGGACTTTGCATAGGAGAGAGGAAGGGGTCTCCACCCACAAGAGAAAGTCTATTTAAGCCCGTGAGCGACCCCTCCATTTTGTCTTCAGCTGGCTAAAGAGAGAACCTCTCCACCCCCAAAGATACCGGAAAGAAACTGGAACAAAGGACAGTGACTGCAAGGGGTGTGAGTGATTGCTGGACCCAGACTAAAAGGAGATTAGTCTGTAAAAGGAAGCATTCTGGAACTGGTGAGGATCTTATCTGTATTCAGTTTCTTACTGTATTAGACATAGATTTGCATGTTTTATTTTATTTTACTTAGTAATTCACTTTGTTCTGTCTGTTACTACTTGGAACCACTTGAATCCTACTTTCTGTATTTAATAAAATCACTTTTTACTTATTAATTAACTCAGAGTATGTGTTAATACCTGGGTGGGCAAACAGCTGTGCCTATCTCTCTATCAGTGTTATAGAGGGCGAACAATTTATACAGGGTAAAACAGATTTATTTGGGGTTTGGACCCCATTGGGAGTTGGGCATCTGAGTGTTAAAGACAAGAACACGTCTATTAGCTGCTTTCAGGTAAGCCTACACCTGTTAGGGGACGTGATTCAGACCTGGGTCTGAGTTTGCAGCAGGCTAGTGAGTCTGGCTCAAACCAGGCAGGGCACTGAAGTCCCAAGCTGACAGGGCAGGAAAGCGGGGGCAGAGGTGGTCTTGGCACATCAGGTGGCAGCTCCCAAGGGGGGTTCTGTGATCCAACCCGTCACAGCGGGTTCCAATAGTACTTTATTTATAGGGAGAGCTACCTTTTCTGGGGCCAAGGACTGCAGAATGTTCATCAACTTGTGTGTATTTTCCTGCACAAACTCAGCCCGAATGCCCAAGATTGAAGCCATTTGCCTCAGAAGATCCTGATGTGATTTAAAATCCTCAGGCCCGAGAGAAAGACGCTGGTATGAGTTTCAGCCTGATACCCCTCAGGTGCTTTGGCAATTCTGAAAGGATTTTGGTTAAACCTACAGGGTGAAAAATCCTGATCCTGTTGAAGGCAATGGCAAAACTCATATTGCCTTCAATGGGGCCAGGATTTCATCCAACAAGTTGGATTTTCCAAAGTGCTCAGGAGAAGGAGGGGTAGGGCAGTATGGGTCCCTGGTGCCCCTTGATGGGGGATACCATGCTTAAAGGGGAGTTTCCTGTGCGCAGGTTTGAGTGTGGGTGGAGCTCATCCTTGTAGTAAAACTTCCATTTACTTCAATGGGAGAAAAGTTAGGCCACGAGTGACTGCTTAAATGCAACACGTAGCTTCAAAAAGGGGAGCTGAAAGTGCAGAGTTATGCCCTTTCTGTATCAAGTCAAAATTGCATGCAAAACTGAAATCACTCTTGCATTTTGAAATCTAGATAAGACCTCTTCCACTTTTCTCATAGGATAGTTCTAGTATTTGATGATCTAACTCGAAACCTTTTATTTATACGAACCTTTATTGTAGCAACTACATTGTTTAGCCTGAATTTGCTGAACTCTTTATTTTAGGGGGGGGGATAGCTCAGTGGTTTGCGCATTGGCCTCACAGGGTTGTGAGTTCAATTCTTAAGGGGGCCACTTAGGGATCTGGGGCAAAATTGGTCCTGCTAGTGAAGGCAGGGGGCTGGACTCAATGACCTTTCAGGGTCCCTTCCAGTTCTATGAGATAGGTATATCTCCATATATTATTATTTAATATAACCATGCAAATAAGTTCAGCTTTTACTTTCAAGTGGCAGCGGGATGCTATGTGGTGCTTGTAGTTTTAGTAGCACACTGGGGTCTATGTCACTGTTATGTATTTTAAAAAGATCCCAGTTCAACACCTTATCATGTTTGTTGAGAAATGTTTTGTATCTTGTTCTGTAGACAAATTATATGTCCATTTAATCAAGTTACATTTGCAAGTTGCTCTTCAACACAAGCACACACAGGATTTACTGTTCTCCTATTACAAACTCTAATGAGTAGTATTTGTCCTTCAGTATCCGTCCTTAGACCCAGACTCAGAAAGGTACTTAAACACATGTGTAACTTTAAGCATGTTAGTGGTGCCTGCTAAATCAGGGCCTTACAACATTCATTACCCAGAGAAAGTGACAAATCTACAAATGAACAATAAGTATCATAACTTTATTTAAGTTAGTTAGCTGGGGGTGCATATTTGGCTCAGGATCTTTAACCCCGGTTTACAGGAGACTGATTGCAAATAATATTTAAATATAAAACATACATTAAGAATACATTAAACTAATCCATAATATTTCAAAAATTAGACTCCACAAATTATGAAAACACTTTAAATATAAATGCTGCAAACTTTGAATACCCTTAAAGTGGCATTGTTTAATTTTTATATATAATGGTATTTGAAAATATTACTGTTTTCCCTTTGAGTAAAGTTATCAGTTATTAAAGTAGCAATGTTTAATTTCAATAGGGTATGAAGAGTGATATTGGTTAGAAAAATATACATATTTCTGTTTTCACTGGAAAAAAGATCATTTGAAATATTTATCAAATAAAGTATTAAAAGTCTCTCCATAAATATTTTTCACAGTCCAACAGAAAAGTTGATTATGTTTATATACAGCTATGTAATCTGTCATTTTTTTTTAAAGATACATATTCAAATTTTTGTAAATTGTAGAGGAAAAAAAGAGTGATCTGTCATTACTTTCCAACCTGTTGGCTGTGCTGATATAAGGGTTTTTGGGTGAGCCAAAAGGAAAGAGCCATCCAGTATTACATAATACAATCAAAGGAAAGGTAGGGACAAAACAAAAATACACAGCAGAGGAAAGGACATTACTAAAGGTAACATTGAGAGGAATATTGTCAATAAAAGGCATTACATTTTTTTGGTCACATGCAATAACTTGTAGAGGAAAAACAAAAACCAAGTATTAAGAAGGACACTTTTGAAGTCTTTTTCATGAGTTTTTAAATAATCTTTACTACTATTTTTAATATCCACTTGGAATAGCTCCCGACTGAATTTTTTTTGATATGTACAACTTGTGGCTATACTTCTGTTAAATGGTTGGTATCTGTTAACTTCTGTTGCACAAGCAAAATGAAAGGTAAGTCTTTTAAATAAAGTGAGACTGTGGAACTGGAAGAAGGTAGCTTGAATGAAATACAGAGTTGTTAAACAAATTCTGATCTGGAACCTCTTGTATAAAGTAATTCTGGTGAAGAGAATGATTTTTTTAAATTAGCTACTTAATAGAGGATGACATTTGCAACAGTAATGAAGTTTAAATATATGGTAACTTTTTAACCCGAAACCCCTTGACAGTGTCCTTTTAAGTGTCAGTAGATTGCTATTTGAATTGCAACTGAAATAAAATAGAGGCAAAGACTTTTAATGAAATAAATGAAAATTTTCTTACAATATTTCACAGTAATAAAGAAAACAAACAATCCATGGAAACAATGAAGGATGCAGCAGCAAATGACTTAAACTGTTCACTTTTCATTTTATAAACATCATCAACATTATTGGTGCATTCTATGCAATGGATAAAGTGAGGAAATTGTCCTCTGCCAGAAGTGGCACTTTTCTACCATATGTTAACAGTTAATTATGGTCCTTGGAAACAGTTAAGTCATTTTTAAATTTATATGGTAAAGGAACATATATTTACATATGTACATATACCCACAAGAATAAAATTAAGCCAAATCCTGAACAGGGGGTTGCACTTTAAACAGAGGTGATCATCATACAGTGTTGAACAGTACCTGTCCAAAAGACTGTAAAGGCTTGGTGAGTTTCACATATTCTTCCTCCATTCATTTCCCTCTAATATTTAATAGATTATATACTTCATTTCGGAGCAAATGAGTGGAAATATTACAGAGCAAGCCCGGTAAAGTACAGCACCGCTACTGAAAAATGCGCGTGGCTTCATGACCCAGGACTCTGATTTAAAGCAAAAATAAACAGCATATAGCGCAACAGCAAAGAAGTGGCCAATCAGTACCATTGGTTTAGGAGATAAGCTGTACAGACAGAAGAGAAAAAACACATTAATAAAGAGAAATTTGAAGCGCTATAGAATTTTCAGTCTTACATATTAATTCAATAGATTTTTGTGAGCACACTACTAACATCTGTTTGATCTAAACAATCCCAGCCCTGCTGTCTACAGTGGAAGAATTTGGCATAACTTGGAGCTGCTGTGTGCTAAGCAATTCCTCCTACATCATTACCCTGATACACCATTGCCTCAGCTCCATTTCTGCTGCAGTCCTCATCCCTGCCTTTATCACTTCCCATCTGGATTATTTCAACTCCCTTCTCGATAGCCTCCATAGGTCCAGTTCTCTTGACTCCACTGAGTGAGGAATGCAGCAGCCCTCTTTCTCACATGCTCAAAGAAGCACCGTCTATTGTTTTATCCATTTCAGGGTACAGTTCAAAACTGTCCCATTTTTAAAAACCATCCAGACTCACACCAACCTTCTTCAAAGAACTTGCCTCTCTCTGCTCCCATCCCTGTTCCCTCCACTCATCTAGAACTGACATCTTCTGTAGCTTTACATAAACTCAGCTCTTGGTGAATGAATTGTGTCAGCTATCATCAAGTCTTCAGCCATCCTGAACCTCTTTGTCTCACTGAAACTCTCGTGCCCACGTATCTTACTTCCTCTCCAAACTGTTTTAGTGGAATCTTCTAACTGTTCAGCATTTTGGGACACACTTTATATGAAAGGCATAAAACAAAATAAGGACCAATCCTAAGGAGGTTTGCTAGTGTGGACCCTTCTCCCCATGCAGTTGCCGACTCAGGGTGAGCAAGGGTCTGCATTAGTGGACCGCAATCCATTAACTATGGTATATGCTAGTTCCTGATACAGTACAGTAGGTGTTTCGATATTTTATATAACTTACACAGATAGCAATCCAACTGGACCCGAAACACACTCTCCCCCAAGTTTGAAGTAATGGAAACATGCTTGCCTTAGCTGATGCAAGGAATCTAGAAAAGGAATTTAAAATATCTTCAGTAACTACTAAAACCACCTAAAACCAAATAAAGCTTTGATCCAAAGTCCACTGAAGTTAATGGGAGTCATTCCATTGATTTCAATGGGCTTTGGATCGGGCCTTACTATTTAAGTAAAGAATAATCTTACAAAACACTTACTAGTCTGTGAGTACTACATTCAGGCACCACAAATGTGTTTTTTTAAATGGAATTCCTTATACCAATTGTCCCTGGGCTGTTTGCTAAGATATTATCAGCAAAATGTCAGCTCACACCAGACACCAGCACTACTCACAGTTTTGGAGGCATAGTCTAACAGTGACAAGTATGCAATACATGCTCATGCATGAAAACACACAGAGAGTGTACTTATTTAATAAGTTGCAATTAATTACAAAAGGTCTCTTAAATGTTCTTACCATCTCTGGCAGCAAACAGTTCATAAAGGGCCTGAGCAAGAACATTCACTACAAAAGAATGAGACTTTTTTCTTGACCAGTAAAATGTCTTTTTTGCCTGTAAAGGTAAAAAAAAAAATCTTTATATCAGGGCACAGGAAAATACTCTTTTCCTTCTAAAAAGGTATAGGAATGACTTCCTTTTCAAAGTTATACTGGTGCTGCTGCATTATCTTCCTACAGATTTTGTACACTTTTTCTATTTAAAGATCAAAATCTGTCAACTATAATATTGACATCAGCCTGTTTAAAAGCCAATTAGATCTCCTCTTCCCCCATTCTGCTGTAGCCATTAGGATAATAAAGTCATGGAACTTTGATATGGAAGAGACCTGTTACATCATAAAGACCATCCCCCTGCCAACCCTTATAGTATCTCTTAAAAATAGAGAAGTAACAGGAAGAACGTTCTAACTCAGGGGTCGGCAACCTACGGCACACGTGCCAAACACGGCACCCGAGCCAATTTTGAGAGGCACGCTGCCTGCCCGGTGAGAGGAGGAGGAGGAGGAGGAGGGGCCGGAAAGCGCCACGCTGGGGGAAGAAGCGGGGGAGGAGGGAAGCTTGGCTGCCGCAGGACCAAGCTTCTGCCTCCTGCCCCGGCAGGGGAGAGCAGTGGGGGGGGGGCCCGGCCCCC